CCCGGGCCGCGGCGCCCAGCTGATGCCGGTACCGGGCCGCGGCATAAAAAAGGTTGGGGATCACTGTTCTATATTATTGTTTTGGATCTTGTAAAAATAAAAACTATAAATCATCAGGGAAGGCTCTCAATTTATAAACTTCTTTCTTAATATTTATACCCCTTATCATCCTGTCTAATATCTCTATTTAAGACTTCCAAAACCAAAATAAACAGCAGCGGGGACAAGGGGCATCCTTGTCTTGTACCCTTTTGAATTTTTCATGAATTAGTTAAGTCATCATTTATGATGATTTTTGCATTCTGTGACATGTAAGATCACTTTAATTCCTTGAATAAAATTCACTCCAAAGTCCATTCAGGTCCATACAGCCCCAATTCAGGTTGTCAAAGGCCTTCTCTGCATCTAAAAAAAATATTATTTTTTCGCAATAATTTTTTTATTTTTTGTTACAACAAAAATCAATGTGTGAGCAGTGTGGTTCCGTAGTGTCTTACATTTTGATACAAATATGACAATATTCCTCTTAATATAGTTGACAATTTTTCAGATTTGATATTAATACATATAATTATTAAATTATCAATCTTAATTATTCAGTATTACAGTATGTTATTTTTATGTCAATTTCTATATTCTTAACCTCACTCCTTTTACTACCAATTATATATTAATCATATTTTCAGTGTTTACCTATAATTCTAATAGCATTTCACAAATTTATATTAAATTATAAATTTCTATTATCTATCCCCTTATTAATTTCTGAGTATGCCACTATATTTAAAAAAGAAAAATTCCCCTTTCTAGTCACATTTTAATACAAATACAATAACATTCATCATTCTTACATTTAACAATTTATACAATTCTAATAATGCCATTATATTTTTATTAAATTTTGCCTTTCATTGTCTTGTATAATACTTCACAATGTTTTTCTTTTCTTTTCTTTTTTAACCATCATCTCTTATTTGCATTAAAGCTGTGGTTTTTCACTTCTTAGCTTGCCTCCCATATTCCTCTCTTATATTTCTGTTTCTATCTACCACTTTTTGACCTTTCCTCTTAAAATGTTTCTTCCTTCTCTATTATGTTCCATTGCCTCATTTCCAAGTTATCTACTCTCACCCCTATCTTTCTCCCAAAGGTTTCTCTTTGCAATTCCCAATTCCTGTTTAATTTCCTTTATAGTACTCTCCCCTTGGTTTACATCAATCATTATATTTATTTTCATTTGCTTTTTATGTTTAGTTCCTCTTTCAGTTGGCTCCTCCTCTTCCTGGTCCTCCTGCTTTCTTGACATTTGTATCTCAATTTCCAGCTCTGCGTCCATGTTTTTTATTTTATTCAAAATGTTCTCAAATCCTCTTGTCAGTGTATCTTTTATTTCCTGAAAATCCAACACAATTTCTTTGCAAATTTCACTCATCTTTGTTTTTGTTTCTTTTATTTCTTCCCAGACAATTGTCCAACTGTCCTTTATCCAAGTCAAAGCCACTTTTCAAACTAAAAAAACCAATGTCCAATATCCAAGGATGTTTGTGTCCCAAATTTAATCAATCTAATATTTTAAATGGTCCAAGGGTGAAATCTTCATACATCCTGTTGAGGTAATTCCCCGTTAGGAGAATGAGCGCACATAGGGAGACGTAGTGAGAGTGGTGAAGAATAACACACAAACAGCACACAGCTACACTCTATAGTAAAATGTAGGTTTTACTTCCAGTAAACGGTTAAGCAAAGTCCAAACACAGTCCAAGTCATACATGGTTAAAGCAGTCAGTTTTCAGTCCAGGGATAATCCCAATAACAAAGTCCAGTATCATAAACAGTTCAGTAAAAGACTCACATCAAATCCAAGAATCACGATGATCAGTAACAGTCAATAGGGAAATGCAGGAAAGGTAACACTCTCAGCAACAACAGCACAGAACAACCCAGGTTTCTGGCTCCATCTTATGGCCGTTTGAGGAACCACACCCAATTACAATTTTAGCATTCCCTTAAAGAGACAGTATTAAAATGTCTAACCTGGTTTATATATTTTCCAACCCAACTGTTAGGTGACTTACATTCCTAACATTCTCCCCTTTGGGTAGGACAATACATACAACCTTGCATTCCAAGTCCATAATCCTCACAGCAAGCCTGATGCTTTACAGAGCCTTGGTCTTTTGTAAAATAATCTGCGATGTTATTTTCTGACATACAGTATTCCAGCTTAATCATCTTACTTTGCACACATTGTCTCACATTTAAATATTTTAAATATGTGTGTTTTGTTCTTGTCTTTACAGCAAGATTTGAAGCCATCTGTATTGCTGATTGGTTATCTTCGTAAATAACAATAGGATCTGTTACATCAATTCCCATATCAATCAGTAATTGCTTATACAAAAC